TTCACATGGGGATTATATAAAGGTATTCTGTTATCAAATAGATAATCGAGAGTGTAAGGGAACTATGACTTACTGGGAAAAAAAAGAACAAAAAGAGCATCATCACATCCAGCCTGTCGTTTGTTTACAGGTGTCTTAACATCCATATTCTCGAATAGACATTAACCGTCTCAGATTTTCCATCTAGTATAACTAAATGCCTCGCTTTCATTGTACAGTATACGTTCAATTGCGATTAGTATTATTTTTTTTCCCAGTAAGTCATAGTTCCCTTACACTCTCGATTATCTATTTGATAACAGTATATCTTTATATAATCCCCATGTGAAAGAAAAGATTTTTTTTGTTTAACCAACCATTTATATTTATATTTATCACTATTTTCCATTATGCATAATTCCACCAATCGACTATCAGGTATGCTTATGTTCATTGTTATCCTTGTGCCTCATACCTTCAAACAGAGATCTTATTCCTTCATTTTTCAACCCATTTTTCTACCCATTTTTGAAGCTTCTTTTCGGCTTGTTTTTGAGGTTTTTGTCAGGCCATTTTTAAGCCTTTTTTTCAGGCTGTATTGAGGCTTTTTTGGGGCTGTTTTGAGGCTTTTTTCAGACTGTTTTCTTCCAAAAACAGCGTTTAATCGTCTTCCAAAAACAGGCTGAAAAAGTCTGAAAAACCACTGCAAAAAAAGCCTCAAAAATAGCACCCCGAAAACAGCCCGGAAAAAGTCTCAAAAACGGGGAGGGGAGGAAAAAATATTTGGCAATATTCTGTCTATAAGACGCACAGACATTTTTCACCCCCTCTGGGAGACCAATAGTCTTATAGTCCGAAAAAATACGGTAGGTAACTTTGGTAATAGATGGTGGGAACTTAGCTATCGTAATATATCTTGATTTCACAAAAGTCCCCCAGGGGATGTCCCGGTTTTGCAAACTAGCAAAGCCTGGAGGAATAAATCTCACTGGGATTACTCCGTCCAGTTTTGCTCACCACAATTTTGCTCCAGTTTTGCTCACCACAATAAACAATTTGTAGAGATTCTAGAAAGGGTGCAGAGAAGAGCAAGGAAGACGATTAAAGGGCCTGGAAACCAAAACGTACGAAGGCAAGGGATTCAATTCCTCGTTGCTGTCAGAAAATACACGACTCAAAATAACGACTTGCCGGAATTGGGTATGTCTAGTCTAGAGAATCAGGGACGCAGTGGCTCGGGGGGCTAAGACGCTGAGCTTGTCGATCCGAAAGGCCGGCAGTTCGAATCCCCAGCGCCCCGTAACGGAGGGAGCTCCCGTGACTTGTTCCCAGCTTCTGCCAACCGAGCAGTTCGAAAGCAGGTAGAAAATGCAAGTAGAAAAATAGGAACCACCAATTTTGTTGGGAAGGGAACAGCATTCGATGCGGCTTCGGGAGTTGAGTCATGCCGGCCACATGAGCACGGAGACGTCTTCGGACAGCGCTGGCTCTTCGGCTTTGAAAGGGAGAGAAGCACCGCCCCCTAGTGTCAGGAATGACCAGCACATATGAAGCTTTTATCTTTTAGCCTAGAGCAGTGTTTCTCAACCTTGGCAACTTGAAGACGTTCGGACTTCAACTCCCAGAATTCCCCAGCCAGCATTCGCTGGCTG